CACCCAGTCTGTGACATTTTGTAATAGCAGCGCAAATGGACTAATATATATATATATATATATATATATATATATATATATGTGTGTGTGTGTGTGTGTGTTAGATGAATTAATGAAATAGATATGGCAGAAGAGATGATTTCCAGGTTCTAGCTGGGAATGCCATCTGTCCAGAACCACAGGAAAAGAAGCAGGGTTGATGAGAAAGATAATGAGAGCAGCATGGACAGGCTGATTGTGAGGTGTGCTTGGGACGTTCAGGTGGAGATGTTGAGTGAACAATATGAAACTGAGTCTCCTAAGTCTTGGTTGCAGATAGGGATGCGGTGGCCATCACTGCACAGACTGCTGGTTAAACTGTGTAAGCTCATGAGACCATGCCGGGAGTAGCAAGCGAGAGGTGAGCCCAGAACAGAACTCTGGGAAAACAAACATCTCAGAGGACATGGAAAAGAACTCCTGAAGAAGACTTGGGAGGGCATGGTCACTGAGGTAGGCAAGCCAAGAGAGGGGGAGATTTTGGAAGCCCTAAGACTCAACAGTGTTCAACAGAGCAGAGAGTTCCGGCAGGATAAAGCCTGAGAGACGGTTATTATAATTTGGTCATACAGATATCGTGGGCTATCTTTAGAAGTGCTGTTTCTGTGAAGAGGTCGGCAGAGGGAAGGTGTCAGATGGCAATGTTCTGAGGAATGAAAGGTGATTGAGAAGACAGGCTCATCAAATGTAGATGAGTGTCCTGTTCGTGAGCTGATTACAGGTTGTAAACAGATAAACATTTTGTTTTTAATAGCTGCATATTTAAAGTGTATTAAAATAGATACCAAGTGCAGTGAATGCAGGATTTTCTGGATAATATAAAGTTCCTCTTCTAAACAAGCATATTTTAAAGAAAAAAAATCAGTAGATTGAAGGACATATATTATATATATAATAATACAAGTGGTTAAATGGAGAAGGTAAAAATTGTCATGCCCAAAGAATTGAAATTTAGAGACCATTGTTGGCACTATTTTTAAAAAATGCTTAGCTGTGAAGGGAAGATGAAAGACAGAGTTGTATGGAGTTAAAGAAAGTTTTGTAGAATTGGAAGGCTTCAGCATCCTTATTGCCTAAAAAGCCAGTAGTAAAGAAAGGGCTGAAGTTCTAGGTAAACGAGTGACTAATTGATGGAATGAGGTTCCAGACGTGGTGGCAGTGGTGGGAAGCAACCACACTCAGGTGTGACTGGCCTCATTCAGGAGAAACACCACTTCCTCCAGGATGGGAGGGAGGAAAGTAAGGATACATGTGGATAAATAAGCTTGTCGAGTAGAGAGAAGTATTTGAGAGCATTCCCACCCACAAATCCCTATTTTCTCAATCATTTGTTGGAGAACATCTATGGAGAATGGAGACCACAGGAAGTTTGAGTAGACTGGACAAGAAGTTTCGGGAGGGTGGTAGAGGTTTAGCACATGATGTCTGAGGGCAATGCAGGGAGGAGCTGATCAGAGACAGAAAATAACTGAGCAATGGTGTTATGAGAACAATTGGAACAGAGACCAATACATTTAAGCAGCCCAAAATGGGCACTGGGATTAGACACTGATCCCAGTGAAGTGACAAGGGAGTGAGACCCTTTCAGGAGCTGGTGAAAGAAAAATTCCAGTAATTGTTCAGAGTAATATAAGCTGATTGGGAAAAGGAAGGAGCTGAAAGGAGTGGAAGTTTGGGTTAAAAAAAGGGGGCATAGAGGCTGATGATCTCAGATAGAGGAGTTTTAGGGGAAGGGGTAAAGCAAGGTCCAGTGGCTAAGGAGAATGGGATATAGAAGTCACTGAGTTCAGAAACCCAAACCTTGAGAAGCCAGGTATGGAATGAGCAGTCCTCACTGGAAGTCTCTCAGGATGCTGGCTAGAGTTGTAATGGTAAATTTGAGAGCCTATGGGCCAAAGACATCTAGGAATGCGGGGCAAGTGACCAAGAGGTTAGGTAGTGATGGTGATGAAAAAAAGAGATGGAGAGACGGGTGAAAGGAGAAGCATTTTCACATAAGGTAGAGATAAAACAATGGTCTGGAAGAGACAGAGAGGAGCCAGGCATGTGGGGCCAAGCAGAAAGAGCAGCCTCCACTAGAGGGAGCTTCAGGCAAGAGATAGGACTTGGTGCTCCGTGAAAAGCTGGGAATGGGGCTAGGGAGGGTATAAAAAACTTAGTTCCAGAGTCCAAAGGCAAATGTTGGGAGGAATAAAAAACAGAAATAAAGAGCCAGACTGGAGGAAGAAAAGAGCAGTGTGGACAAAGATGGTGGTGCCAAAGGAATGCAGGACCAGGGGAGGCAAGAGATTCCCGGTAAGCACCACCCAGCTACCTGCAAACCACAGGAAGAAGCAGGAGTGTGCCTTTTAGGAAAACAGACTGCCTGGGCACAGGAGCTATCTACACTAGAGCTATCTTGCCTTGGGTAAAAACCCTGAGTCAGTTATTCCTGGAAAATTACAAGAGACTTCTGGGGAAGAGAAGCCCCAAACCCTCACCTTTTTTGGTTTACAGGGAATAATCTTCCCACTGTCCATTCCAGATCCATTACCCGTCTGCCAGGCCTAGGTCCAAGGCTCGGTCTGAAGGTGAAACCAGCCTGAGGAAATCCAGGTTATTCTCTAAATGCTCATAATTTCCCCCAAGTGAACAGCAGAGAGCAGCAAAGAGCCAGAAAGGAAGCTGAGACCACACAAGAGCCCAGAAATGGTGAAGAAGGGAAGGTGAACTAGGCTTTGGAAACCATATTATGATCCCACAGTGCCCTCTGTTGCACTTACCACGCTGTAATGCAATTGACTATCTTTCCTCATAAATCAGGGACGTCCTGTGGAAGGACTGTACTTGTCTGGTTCATCTCTGATTCCCTAGTGCAAACGCTGGGCACACAGTAGGTACTCAACAAATACTTGTTGAGTGAATGGCTGAATATGGGAAGGTGGAGGTGAGACTCCCACCTGATGTTGTTAGGAGACAGACAACGGTATTATAGGGCAAGATGGTATATGCAAAAGAGCACTGGTTTGGGAGGGAATCTAAACCAGGCTTTGTATAGGGCTGTGGGTGAAGTATCTAACATTTCCGAGCCCGGATTTTCTCCTCCGTAGAAAGAGGACTTTTCATCAGGTTAGTTCTCATGAGAAAATACACAAAACATGCCTAGCACAGTATCTCACATACAAGAAACACTCAATAAAAAGTAAGCATTGATATTTACTGTGGTCATTATTACTGTTACTATTATTACAGCCTCTTTCCAGGGTCAGGTACCAGAGGAGAAGAGAAAGAATCACTAAAAGTAGGAAATACATTGGAATGAAGACTTGGAATCAATACTTCCTCAGCTCAGTTCCCTCAAACAGTGCAGCAATAGAACCCATAGAAGGCCACAGTGGAACCTACCATTTCTAGAAGGCACAGCTTCCCAGATTGTGGTGGGTTTGTTTGTTGGGGGAGGGGGAAGCAAGGGATGGATACCTGGTATTTTCCATGGCAGACTAGTCTAGCTCAGCTACCCAACAGATTGTGACGGGCACTTCAGAGCACTAAAAGGTTTAACTAATAGCCATGCGCATTTGGCCAGAACTCGCATTGAACACCTCAGAAACCAGCAACAACGAATCCTAGGAGTCTGAGCCCTAGGACAGCTGCCTGACTGGTTCCCTTCAGAATGAGTCTATCTCTGATGCTTAAACATTATTAAGACGCTATTTGCTGTGCCACAGGGGACAGACAAGAGAAATGGCACAGGTCTCCTGGTTACTAGAGCTTCAGACTTCCCTTAAAACTCAGAGGGGAAAATAGTGCGTTTATGTTCTCTTTGACAGTATGAGACCCCAAGTGGCTGCACAGGGTAAAAACAGTCACAAAGAATATTTAGACAAGTCCTAAGAGTCCTAATTGATAGAAATCAGAGACAGGGGACCAATCTCTCCATTGGTAGTAAATGCCATAATGCCCATCCTCCAACATGTCCCTCGGTTGACTAGTCCTTGAGGGTATTTCATACCAGAAGTTCTTAAAGTTTGCCAGAATTCCTGAGTTAGAGGAAACATACTTTCAAACCATCTTCCAGTGGGCTCAAGGGTCCATGTCATCTCATGTCATTTTTAACGCGATAGAAATGAAACCCTTGCTGCCTGGGGTTGGTCTCCCAGAAATGTCTCAGCAACCAAGATAGAGAGGCTGGTGGCTAAGACTAGCAGAGCATGTCTTGTGGGTACAGGCCTTTCAGGAAGGTAAGAACACTGAGGAGCTGCTCACGCACTTAGTCGAGAACGGATAGGAACCGCCCTTCCCTTTTGCCTACTACACAACAGAGGGAGGGGATGGATCATGGAAGGGGCATTGTGTGAGGTCATAAAATCAACTTCATTTCTAGGCTGCTTCTACCAGGTTCCTGGTCTCTTCCACATGACCAAATGAAGGTTTTCAGTGGTTTATTTTACATGGAGGTCACTGCTCTTTTACCTGCCTCTTTCTTCAATCCCATAATCCCACAGTCCCTATATTTCTTGTCCCGTTCAGTATCTTCTTTGGTTCTCAGAGGATGACTATAATGAGCAAGAGCACAAGGTCCCTCTCTTGAGAGGGCTGAGTGCTTCCTTCTCCCCTTCTGCCCTATACTTCATACTAAGACAAAGGAAAGGCACAAGCACAAGTGAGTGGCAGAGTGTAGGAGGTTCCATGCATACCCAAACCCTCCCAGACGGACAGCTCAAGGCCTAGGCCCTGGGACAGGCAGTCAGAGGCACCAAGCTCACCCAAAAAGGCTGCTTCTGCAAAGCCCCCAGACTCTTCGCAGGCCCTGTCTGTGCCCATTTCTCAATGCCTGGTGTCTGGCATAAAAGCAGGCTGCAGAAACCCAGCCAGGCAGCAGCTCAAGATCCTGATAGGCACCCAAGAGGTCGTGACTTCCCAAAACAGAAGAGAGCGTCAAGGTGTGGGGGTGACACAAGGGTGTGTTTCATTGGCCTTACCTCCTTTCCAAAGCAGGTAGATGGGCACCACGTAGAGCATAACATGTTGAATGTAGTAAATCTCCAATTCAAAGGGGAGCTATAAGGACAGGAGGGAGAGGTGTTTTAGACGAGGAAGCACTCATGGCAACGGATTCTGAATTTCAATGCCCTTGCTCTTCACAATCCACATCTTAGCAACCCCATGCATTTCACCAGTTCACCTCCTTTCACAATCAGACCAAAAAAAGAACGAAATGAATATGCTTATGACCTAGACCAGCATCTTCCAAAGTGTATTTTTCAGAGATGATACTTGAAAAATGTTCCACTAAGAAAGTTGGTTAAAAATGTAAGAAATGTGGCATACAATATATTCCCTTGGAGATTCACCATGTATATTAGTGGTACACGAAGGACCTGGGTGGTCTCTACAACTACAAAACCTGCTTAACTTTGTTTAACCAGTGTTTCCCAAACTTAGTGAGCCACTGCCCTTTTAAAAATAACACTCAGTATTCAGTAGGATATACTGGAAGAAACATAACCTTTGTCACGTTCTATTCCTGGTGAGTAGGTGGTGAACTATTAAAAGCTCATTTATCATTTGTCATGAAGAGTACATGTGGTAGGATTTATTATTCCCATTTTCCATATAAAATCAAAAAGCATTGCTAATCTGACATGGTCTATTGGGTTGTCGGAAAAGTCATGATGCATCTTTGCAATGAAAAACAGAAAAAATATGTCGTGACTTTTCCAACAACCTAATAAATCCAAGAATAAAGAGCTTCCCCATTGGATATTTGGGGTCATTTCAGTTAGCCCTACTTTCGGGTAAAGGCCAGACGACTGGGCCAATATATTTTGGCATGGCTTGCCAAAAAAAATAATAAAATTCCCCACCCCCCCTCCATTCAATACACGCACTCATTCACTCCTGTTTCCCATCGCTTTCTCTCAAAATGGAAGCCCTGGATTACCAAAGCAGAGTGCGGTTTGAAGCTGGCATAGGGACCATGCTATAGAGCTTGGCAGCGGGCAGAGAATGGAAATGGCTGGGTGGCCAACTCAACTCCAGGAAAGAACTTCAGCAGCTGGCAGGAGGCCCGGCCTCCAGGACTACACAGCCTTCAACACACACACACACACACACACACACACACACACACACACGCACACCCCAAGGGGAAGCCCAGAGACTAGGACACCCAGGAAAAGGGTCAGCTTCCTCCGTGTTCCCTACAGGACATGCACAGAAGCAGGTCTATGCTAATGAGAAGGGGCAGTTATGGGCTCCCAGGCCCAGAAGGTCACACCTTCTTGTGCCAAGAGCGGAAACCAAAAATGGCACAGTTCTTGGAATGGGAGCTGAGGTGACTGTGGACCCTGGACAGACACCGGCTCTGGCTCTTGAAAATAAAAACCCATTGCAGAAAGGAAATTTCCCATGGATACAGACGATGCTCGACTATTATTTTATGTCCACAGAGGGAAATGTAAAATCCCAGCAAAAGACACGAGGTTCTAAGCATCTCTGTAGACCATGCTGGAAAATGATCAAAGAGGTCATGGGGTTTGTCAGTGGGCATCACCAGCAAGAGGGTCCATACAGGACCCTCACAGTAAAGGGGCCTGGGATCACTCTACTATCTTAAATTTGGGTGCTGCTTCATGCTTCTTCTAATGTTTTCAGATCCATGACTGACTCAATCCTTTCAAAAATCCCATGAGGTAGGCAGGTCAAGTATTGTTATCCACATTTGACAGATGAGGAAACAAGTGCAAAAGGGTTAACTGACTTGGCTGCGATTACCCAGAAAACAGGCAGGGAGGAAAAGGACCTAAGGAAGGTTCAGTGCTCTGGCTATAATCCAAATCTTCAGGTACCTAAGGGAACCCCAGACTGCCCTCCCACAGAAGGGAACAGAGAACCAGGCCAAGGGCCTGCAGCCCCTGGCCCAGCCAGGTCCTCAAGTAGTACCTCTGCTGACCTCTCAGACTGTTTACTCCCCTGCACTCACATTGCCCACTTGCTTCTCCCTCCCTGACAGCCCTTCTAGAAAGCAAACTCCCCACTGGCGTGTGCACAGAGGCAGAGGCAGTGTAGCACCACGGCTGCAAGCAAGGACTTTGGAATCTCAAATCTGTGTTCTAGATTTGATTCTGCCACTTAATAGCCCTGTGACCTCGGGAAAGTCATTTAACCTCTCTGCCCCAGTACATAGATGTTAAAAGGAAAATAACTGTGCTGTTATAAGATTGTTGTAAGATTTCTACTGTTTATAACACAAGCATTTATATAGTACTTATAATGTGCCAGGAACTATTATAAACACTTTGTTAACTATTAATTCACCCAATCCTTGTAACAACTATATCGTAGATCCTCAAATAACATTGTTTCTTTCAACATCATTTTGTTACAAAGTTGATGAGATGCTGTAGGAATTTAACTCTTGTTTACATCAGTTAGCCTAAGGCAAAATTGTTTTCCTTATACGTCATTCTGCTTAAAGTCACAGAACCTATCCATGACGTTAAGTGAGGATTTACTGTACTGTTCCAATTATCTCCATTTAGAGATGAGAAAATGAGTCACAGAAAGGTTAAATAACTAACTTCCCCGAGGGCACATGACTCATTTGGTGACAGAGTTAGGATTCAAACCCAGGCATTCTGGCTCTAGAGTTGGTGGAGATAAGCAGTGGAGAGGAGCTGTTATCATTAATGGGAGGAGTAATGGTGGTATGTCAGCAGCAGCAAAATTACTACTTGTGCTCACAGTCCCTTCATGTGGGGACTGGGCCCAGCCCCTCCCTATTCACGTGACCCTCCCCTTCACAGCCTGCTCTGCCCCGATGTGGTCCCAGGCCCCACAAGACACAGTGGCCCAGCCTGGCCTGCAATACAGTCATCCCAGCTCCTGAGGCTCCTGTCACCAGCTCACTGAAGCTGTGCAGACACCTCAGGCACAGATCTTAGTTGGGATGGTCAGAAGACTGCTCCCACCAGTCATGTCCTTCCTCTCAGGGCTGCGTCACCCCCTGTTCCAAGAGTTCCTTACCTTGGAAGGCCACAAAGAGTGTTCAACTGAGTGTGGGGAACACTGGCATCCACAGCCAGGGAGGAGAAAGGATATAGGCAAAAGAGATCAGTGTAGGAAAATATGGAGAGGAAAGAAAAGACAGGAAAGAGGAGGACAACATGAGAAACAACACACAAGTGGCAGGACGAAGGGGACTGACTGGGAGCAAGAACCTACCACTGGCCATTTAAGAAAACATATTTATTAAGTCCTTACGTACCATGCAGTGTGTTAAATACTTTCACCTGCGTTATCTCATTTAATGATTACAAGTTTCCTGTGAAGCAGGAACTATGACACGTAAGGAAACTGAGGTACATAGATGTTAAATAACATCCAAAGAAGATGCAGCAGGGCTCGGATGGGGGTCAAGGGCATTCGGCAACAGGGGAGACAAAAGGCAGTTTTCTTTACTGAGCACTGAATCCTCACCTAAAGTCATGCCAAGTCCCAGGATCTTTCTCATGGAGCCTCACCACCTTCTTTCCCCCAGTTTGCAAACACTATCTGCAAAATGCCATACTTCCCTCAGAAGAAGTTCCACTTGGGTAATTCATTTCTACCCTACAGAACTCACATCTGAAGCTCCATTCTGATGTACATATACCAGTTCCTTTTCAACTGGAGGATTCTCAAGGCTTGAGACAAAAAGGCTGATATCAGTGCAATTGAAAGTCAAAAGCAAAGAAAAGGTTTTAAGCTGCACAGGTCATTAACTTTCTTCTTCTCACATCCAAGACAACTTCTTCTTTAGAACAGAGTGGTAGCGTTCTCCAGGACTCTGGGGTCAGAGTGCCTGAAACAACGGGTGCACGGACTCTGTCCATGGCAAGATCCTGACCTCCTTCCTCCAGCCCACAGCCCTGACAGCCGCACCACCACACTCTGCCATGGACCACCAATCCCATCATGCCCTACATCCCTGGCTACTTCAGTCACCATCAGAAGCCCAAGCCTCCCTGGTCATTGTGCAACACCTGAACCCTAATCCCCGCACGGCTCTGTACATCTCCTAATCTGTCTCCATCTTCTACTGCTCCCCAATTCCCGAAACCCTTCCACTCTATCCTCTGGAACCCAGTGATATCAGTAGCAAAATCCCTTATATCCTCCCACTCTTCTTGGAGCGTTCCCTTCACCTTCCTGCTTTACAGAAAACCTGGTTCTTCCACACCCCCCACACTGCTATTCCTACAGCCCTATCAAGTGGTGGGGGACTTGCCTCCAATTTTGTCTTTTCCCACTGGGCCAGTAGGGGTCCTGTCTGTTTTTCACTGCTACTTCTAAATTGCTATCTTTTCCAGACCAGTTTTCTGCCTCCTTCCTAACCACCCCCCACCCCATGTGAATCTCATGTCATTGTATTCTACCACCCACTACTCTTCCTGTTACAGTCATCTATGAAAGCTCTCCTTGTATATTCCCCTTCAGTCCTTGAAAGACTTTACCTCTGGCCTCCTCGTGAAATTTTTCTGGCACGTCTTTTTCAAAATTCCGGTGTTTCCAATATTTAGCAATACTCTTGGTCTCTCAATGCCTTGACCTCTATTTCCTTCAAGATCTTATCTCAGCCCTTTATTCCCATGGTCATACCTGTCATTACTAATATCTGGGACTCCTACATAAACTCTGTCATATACCTCACTCTCCAACCACCACCTCCTATCTATCCAACTCATGCTCCCTCATATCCCAACTCTAACAATCTTTCAAATTTACTGGATCCTACAGCCTGTTGATCCTACCACCTTTTTTACTGCCCCTCACCAACCTCATGTCCTCACTTCAATGTTTACCTATCACTCCCTTCCATACACCCTCAACTCCCCCGAAACTCTCTCTCCCTTTTTCCTATTTGCCTCACAAAATCACATTTCTGGTTAAATCCAACTCACTGCCTTCACACCCATATATCATGCAAGTAAGCATGATGGGAGAAAAACGTAAAGCTATGCCATTAACCTTTTAAATTCATGACTGCAAATTTTGAGTGAGCCCTTAATTCAATCCAT